CCAGGAATTGAAACCTACTGTGGAGACATTTGGAAGACCAGAAAGAACAAAAAAACTGTTTTATCAAGAGGCACAATGCTACCATACATACAGTACATAAATTACTTGAAAATATTATCATAATTTACAGGTTTATAAATTCAGAGAACATGACAAAGCCTAAAAGACTCATGTTTCTACATTAGTCAGATCTCTTTTCCAGTCTATAAAGTGAGCCTTTAAACTTCCTGAGTTTTTTAGGCCTGGGTAATTTGGGTACTGCCTTCAATAACATTCACAAAATTTAACAGTGGACTTATTTTAAAAACAATCAACAAAACAAAAAGTCCAGCCGATCTTTACTAAGAAAGTCAATAAAGACTTTCTGCAGTCTGAGTTTTGATGAATCATCATATTTGGTCCTGATTTATCCAACCTGCTTCACCCACTTTAATAGGACATCTTTCCATGATGGAAAGCTCAAGTATTCCAATAAATTGCAAATATTTGGAGAAACTTGAAAATCAATTAGTAGTAAATCTCCTTCTAGGGGGAAAAGAGAAACAACATAGGAAAGAATGAATCTAACAATCCATGGGGAAGAAACTTCATCATGCAACATACTGCTGCTGCTGCAAACAACCAAGCAGCCTGACCAGCATCAGCACAGCACTGGAATTCCAGGCTTTGCTCCCTGATGGCTGAACAATCCTTCTTGTATTTTTACTTGGTCTGGTTTACTAATCATGTTGGTTTATTTCTCGAGTGGAATTTGTCTTTGACTTTTACTCCTGGGTGTGCTCAGAAGATGAGAAGGCAGCTGGAGCCTCAAAGCATTTTTCCCTCATAGCAACCATGTTGCATACTAATGTAATATAAAGACATTACCCAGCAGGTAGGTGGCAAGAAGCCAAATCTGTTTATTTCAAAGAAAGGTGCCTCCTTATAACCCCTCCGGAGGACATGTGACTGCCTGACCAATGACAGCACAGCACACACTGCCCATGTGCCTCAGTAGGCTGTCCAGGAACTTCAAGTCCCAGAATGCACCCCTTGCATTCCTGGGACACGCCCCCACATCTCACCCCCTCCAATTATTTAAGGCGAGTCACGAAAACAGTGCAATAACAACAGTGCAAATAATAGAGCATTACCTTATACAATTACCACAGCATCGCAGTGACCCAGCACACTGCTTACTCTGGTTCCTTAACAGCTTACATATCTACTGAAAATATTTTCCTTAATCTTTTAAACCTATTCATATTATCTTAAACCTTTATTTTCCTAAAGGGTATGGTGTAACTTGGAAAAACAGCTTTATTAACCTAAGCGTCTTGGTCCATCTGTGTAGTACCTATAAATTTATAACGTTTATTTTTCTCAGGGTTTATATAAACAGGAAAATTCAACTTTATTTCAAAAGCAAGCAAAACGTAGTTAACTAAATTCTCCTAATGTGACCGTGTGGCTGAGGTAGTGATACTCTTGTAAGGTGTTTGGTGTTTGAGGTGCTTTGTACATTCACATAACCCTTTTATTCACTCACACACACTCACACGGGCGGCCGCCACTCCACTCTTCACATACACACTCATGGGTTTTTGTATAAACTCTGCATTTTGCCACATTGGTCATCTTCAATTGAAAACCTGAAATGTAAACATCATTACCAAATGGTAAACATAACTGTGTTTTTAAACTCTGCATTACTCTGGTTCTTGCTGCTATGGGGGTGTACCTAGGTAAGGTCTAATATATCTGGAAGGAACCCATTTCATTTCTTTTCCTGTAGATACACATGCATAACCCCTCCCCCATGTCACAAGATCTACTGGTCCCATCCACTGTCCCAAAATTAGATCCTTTATCATGACTGGTTGTTTGGGAGAGGAGAATGCTCTGAAAACCATTCCAAGGCAATATGGGTAGCACCCAGTTCCAGAACCTGTACAGAACCTTGGTTCATAGTCTGCACCTCTTGTTCTCACTGTCCGGTATCAGGGTTTACCCATGTCACTGCAGCTTTCCTGGTCCGTCCTGATGCATCAGTAAAGACCGTGAGGCCTTTTACTGGTTGGTGTTTGCATCTGGTTGTGGCTTTTAAGGGCAAGTTACCCATTTCTGCCAGGTCTGTGTTTAGGGTAATGAACAGAAATGTCACCATCATAGCCTGCCAAGGCAGCCTGGAATCCTGCATCTTCGGCCAGCAGCCAATTGAAGCTGTCTTTCGTTGCTGGGATGTAGATGGTTGCAGGATCCTGTCCGTCCAGCTCCTGTAGATGTCCTCTGCCTTTAATGACAAACTTGGCAAACATTTCATTAGTGGTCCACACAGTTTTAGGGGGTGAAAGGGGCAGAAATAGCCACTCTAGGACCCTCAGTGGATCTTTTTCAGTTTGGTCCCACTGAAACAAGACTGCAAATAGCTGGAACCTGCTAGGAACAAGAGCAAGGCAGATTTGCAGTTCAGGATCTCTCCTTCTGCCTTGCCTGTTTTCGATTGCCTTGGAGCATGTCTCCAATGCCTGCTTTGCCTCTGCAGTCAGAGACCTGCTAGATGTTAAGTCTGAGTTACCCTTTAACAGTTCAAACAGAGGGTGTAGCTTCTCTGTGGTTAAGCCTAAGATAGGCCTTAACCAATTGATGGCTCCCAGAAGTTTTTGCAGTTTGTTTAAGGTTAAGGTATCTTTTATGTTGAGCTGAAGTGGCTGGGGAGAGATCTCCTGCTGCGTGATTCTCCATCCAAGGTAAGTCCAGGGCTGCGATCACTGGATTTTTTCTGGAGCGACCTGCAGTCCTGCATCTTGGACAGCATTGGTTAGAGCAGTAACAACAGACTGCAATTCATTCTCCGTGGCTGTGGCAATTAAAATGTCATCTATGTAATGGTAGATGATTACTGAAGGATAAAGCTTTCTGATAGGATGAATAGCTTTTGCCACAACGTTCTGGCATATGGTCGGACTGTTTCGCACCCCCTGAGGAAGAACAACCCAGTGGTATCTCTGCATGGGCTGTGCATTGTTCAGAGCGGGGATAGAAAAGGCAAACTGTGGAATACCCTCAGGGTGCAAAAAGATGGTAAAGAAGCAGTCCTTTAAATCAATTACCATTAACGGCTATCCTGCTGGAAGTAGAGCAGGTGAAGGCAGTCCAGGCTGCAATGCCCCCCTGTATTCTATTACTGAGTTAACTGCTCTTAAGTCATGCAACATTCTCCACCTGCCACTTTTCTTGGGGATACAAAACATGGGTGTATTCCAGGGACTCGCAGTTGGCACAACATGTCCTGCTTCAAGCTGCTTTTTTATAAGTTCTCTTAAATGAGCAAGCTGTTCCTTTTTTATGGGCCATTGATCAATCCAGATAGGCTCATCACTTTTCCAAACCAGTTTAATTTGTCCTTGGAATGGCTGTTCAATGGCCCCTACTGAAAAACCTGGTTGCCTGTAGGAGCAATTTGCATGACTGTGTCCAACTGCCCCAAGATATCCCTTCCCCCAAAACATGCATGGTATAGGAGCAACAAAAGGAGCTATCTTGGCCACTTGTCCCTCTGGCCCCAGCACTGTGCGTATTTAAGCACTCTGCCTGGGCCTTTGTGTACCCCCCACCCCCTGCATAGTTGAGGCTGGGTAAACAATAGGCCAGTCAGGAGGCCATTCTGTGTCCTTTATGATGGTAACATTGGCCCCTGTGTCCACCAAGCCTGTGAATCTGTGCCCATCTATTTGGCACATCATCTCAGGCTGTGTTGTTGTAATGGCTCTTGCCCAATAGATTTGTGGCTCGCCTGTGCTTCCAAAAGTCCCTGAGCCCCTCTCCCCCTCCCCAGCAGGAGATGTGTTGAAAAAAGGGATTAGTTGGGCAATTTTTTGTCCTTTAGGTATGTGACAGGGGGGTACTGGGGTCCATGCCATGATTTGAATCTCACTGTGGGAGTCTGAGTCTATTACTCCAGGTAGAACAAACAAGTCCATCATAGTGCTTGATGATCTCCCTATTAACAGTGCATGTACCCCTGGGGTCAACAGTCCCCAAACCCCTGTAGGAATTAACACTACAGCAGTAGATGTTATAGTTACTGGTTCTCTGCTGGATAAATCCAGCCCAGCGCTGGCTGTGGTGGAGAGGCGCAGATCACCAGCCTGTTTTCCTGAGCCAAATTTGTTTGTTGTGCCGGGGCGTGCGACCTTGCCCCCCATCTCCAGTTTCCCTGCTGTGAGGAGTTTTTTGACCCCTGCTTCCCTTGCTGACACTTGGCACACTGGTGTGGGGGTTTTCTTAGGGCAATTCCTTTGAAAATGATCAGCAGCACCACATCTGAAGCAACCACTTTTAGGTTTTGCCCCCTCCTGCACTCTCAGCTGCGCTCTTAAGGCTGTAACCAGAGAAGCAGTTTGGTGTTCGACCAACCCAACACCCTGGCAGGCTCAAACTATCTCAGCAATGCTGCAGTTTTCCCTTTTAGGGAGAGTTTGCAAAGCTCTTTTACAATCTGGGTTTGAGTTCTCATATGCCAGTTGCTTAAAAAACATTTCTCTAGCTTCGTGCTCAATTTGCTCAATTTACCTGTTTAAAGCAGCCTGCAGTCGATCAAGAAACTGAGAGAAGGGTTCAGTAGAACCTTGCAAAACCTTTGTGAAGGACAGATTACTGTCTCTGTCTGTACTTGGAAGTTTTCTCATAGCTCTCAAAGCCAGTTTTGCAATCACTTCATAAACTTCTCGGGGATAGCCTGTTTGTGAGCCTACTGTGGCAAAATCCCCTTCTCCTGTTAAGTGATTGCTTGTTATGCCTGCTTGTGGATTATTCGCATACACTGCACAATTCTCCCAGAAATCCGTCAACCAAATGCTGTACTGTGTATTTGTTAGGACCAGTTTCAGCAAAGTTTTCCAATCGTGTGGGGTAAAGACCTAAGTTGAACTCAACGTCTCCAAATATGCAAATGTATTAGCTGAGGAAACACCAGTTTCTCTTACTAACTGCCTCACTTCCTTTGTTACCTCATACAGCAGCAGTTGGAACTGAGAGGCCTGGTGTGGGCGGAATACAACTGGACATGCATGGATCACTTGCAAATCTCCCACCCGCATCGCTTCCTCGTGGCATCTACTCCACCAGTCGACCGATCTCCCTGCTCCTGCCCTCTTGCTCTCTCCCGGGGGGACCATCTCCGGTCCCTCTTCATCATCCTCTAGTGCCTCTCCACCTGTGGCCCTGGTATATTCGGTTCCCCATAGCTGTGTGGCAGAGAATGACTGACGTGGCGGGAAGGGACCTCCCCCCCACCATGCCTGCAACTGGAACCAGCTGGCAGCACGGCTGGAAGAGACAGGTCAGGTTCCGGTCTGTTTCACACGCAAGATGTCTGCGCCCGTCGCTGTTAATCTGCAGCTTGAGGGGGTGAATTTGCTGGGTTCCCTCCCCCACCGCTGTAACAGGGCCCCGCGCCTCACTCCTGTGGGCTGGATTTTCATGTTACAGTTCCCGTTCCCTCCTCATAATCCGTGCTTCTGCTAAGATCGGAATCTAACCCAACACTTAAATCACGAACATTCCCTGCCTGCCCACGCAGATCCTCCCCTGAATTTAAATCTGTTTGGGTTGCATGTGGTGTATTCCCCCCACTTTGTGTATGTCTATGTGGTGGATTTGGGCTGTGGTTAACAGCCTGGCTGGGAGTTTGTGTATTGGTGTGGGTTGGGTGTTCTGTTCGTCTTTGGGCTCTGTGTAATGCTTCCATGATGATTGACCAAGTAGGGATGCTGTTATTAGCTTGGGCGTTGCCTGCTCTGGATTTATCTCTCATGAGCTTTCCGAGTTTGTCCCAAATTTCTATATTTAGATTTTCCACCAATGGCAGTTTTGGTGCTAGAGATTTTATCCATTGCACAAGTTCTATTAACATTGCGTGTGTGGTTTGTACTTGATATGAACTTAACAAGAGGCACAGAGCCTGTGTCTTTGTTTCTGTAGAGTAGTTGTTTCCCATGTTGGGTTTTACCTTATCTGGCCGCTTTTGAGTTCCTCGTGTGTGTTTGCTTTGTTCGCAGCTTCTGAGATTTTACTTTCGATTTCAGCTCGGGCTGCAGCTTTTCATGGTCTCCGGCAACTCCAGTGTCTCGCTGTCTCTGCAGATGGCAGCTCCGGCGGCTGCAGTGGCGGCTCCGGCAGTGATTCCTGCTCCCTCTGTGGTGGCAGTTCGCGGCAGGTCCTGTGGAGTGGTCCCAGGCGGCAGTGGTGGTGGTGGCGGCAGTGGCAGCCTCGATCCGTCTTGTCTTGTTTTTTTTTTCTTCTCCTGGATCAGTGCCCCCTTTATCTTTTTTGAGCTCAGTTTTATGTTGGTATGTTGAAATTGTGTGAACAATTTCCCTTGCATTTCCGTGTGTTTTGCTTTGGCACAGTTTGGGTGTGATCAGTTAGTCAAAATGGCTACAAGAGTTGAAGTTAGAACAAAGGTGGATTCTTGCCAGATGCCAAGGAGGAGTTTTGGCAGGTGAATAAAGTTTTCTCATCTCCTATGACCACCTGTTGTGATCCAATTAGCAGTGGACAGCAAAGTATGTTTTCCTTATGTATCCAATGTAGTGTGAACAAGAACTGAGCATCATGAGCACTATATAAACTGTCTTTCTTCTAATAAAGCCGACATTTTGCCGACCATAATGGTCTGTGAGTGATCTGTTCTTGCCTCTCCACCGATAATTGGTGCCTGAAAAACAGGGACTCCAAATTCGTCAGTTCTCTGGGACGTAAGGCGAATAGAAGAGCCGAGGGAAGCAGCCGTTATATGTAGCACTGTCCCTGGTGCTGCGAAAAAAACCATGCACAGTGAAACTACAATCTCGCCTTGGCCAGGTGAGTCGGCTGGGAGGAGCATGGGGCCCGCACTATCCAAAGAGGAAAGAGCAGTGGAAAAGCTCCTCCAATCTATAGTCTCTCTAAGAGAGCCAGATTATGATGAAAAAACCCTTAAAGGGTTACTGGAATGGGCGAGAGCGAAGAAGCTAATTCCGACCGCTCAGGCCGCCTTTGAGGTATCTACTTGGGATACTATAAAGGAACAGTTATGGGACGAGATCTCTAAGGGATCAAAGGACACTAAAAAATACCCTGCAATTTGGCGTCTGGTAGTTGAATCGCTGGAAAAATATAATGCTATGAAGTGAGCATCTGCGGCTGCAGAGGCAGCTGTAAAGGCAACTCTCCAGGGAAACAGCGAGATTTTGGAGCAAATGTGTGTAGAGCAGTTTGTTTTCGGGGAGGTTTCGGTGCCTGCGCCTGCAAAGACGCGATTGGTAAAAGTTTTAAAAGCCACAGGTTTATCTTGGTTCAGCAGCGCGCCAGCGCTGGCAGAAAAAGTAGAGCCCACGTAGAGCAACGCTGGCGTTGCGCCATCGGCATACCCCCAGCTGGGCCTGCTGTGGGCGATGAGTCACCGACTGTTACTGCACATGCGCCGCCCGGAACAGAGCTGCTAAGAGCCTCCGTGTCACTAGATGGCGCTACATCGCTACCGCTTGGAACCATGTCATCTGAAATTACATCTGAAATTACATCATCATCAGTCGTCGCATCAGAACCCAGAAGTCCCTCCATGGAAACTGCAGCTGCTGTAGTCGGAGTTACCCCTGCAAGCATTGCCGTAGCAACTGGAGTTATTTCGGCAAGGACTGCCGCCTTGGCAAAACTGCTGCCGTCTTAGCGAGAGCTGCCGTTTTGGCAGAAGCCACCACCATTCAGACGGGAACCGGAACCCCTGCCGAAGCGATCATAGCTTCTCCACGGAGACCAGCTCTTACAGCTGAATCAGCCTTTGCTTTCGGTGCTGTGCCTGCATCAGTACTGCTGCGAGAGAAGGAAGAAAAACCTAATCGTGGTAATGCAAAAGAGCTATTTTCATCATTTCCATCCTCAAGCTTGTCTTCTGATGACAAGAGTTCGGACAATGGAAGCGAGAGGGCCACTATGCTTGCAAGAAAAGACCTTAAAAACACTTTATTGCTTCGCTTTCAAGAGCTTGAGTCTAAATTAGTAGAGAGACAGCTTGTTCAGCTGAATATAGCCTCCTCTAATGTTTCAGCTTTGATTGAGAATGAATCCTGGGAAGCTTTAGACTGGTGTCATAGTTTGAGATAGCCCCAAAATCCAATCCCCTAGCTCCATTCCCCCTCCCACATCTCAACCTAATGTGAGATGGGTTTTTCCAGACAAAACACACCAGACTCCAAATGGGGAAAAGGAATATATTACAATGACTGTACAAATAAATACCATATCACATTATACACACAATCACAACTATCTCTACCATGACATATAGTATTTACAATGGATCAGATCTCTTCTCTCCTCCAAATAAAAGTCCCGGAGGGAAAGAAGGAGAGATCCCTTCCAGTCTCTGAACAGCAGGAGTATCTTCCAAGGCAGCAGGTTCTCCTCATCTCATGCATGCAGCAGCTGTAACTGGATTGTTGTAGCTGGATCTCTTTTCAATACACACAAGGGGGTCTCCAAGCCCCTCGGCTCTCCTTCAACTCCAAGCGAAGGCCTCACCTGTGGACTGCCAGCAGGGACAAGACTCGCGTCACCACAGGTATATCACGAAATGCAGGGGCATCTTCGTGAAAGTCCCTTCCTCAGGGGATTCACCCCTGAGTCAGAACATCTTGGGCAGCATTCAGTTGCAAGCCTTCGCCTCAAGAGTTCTACCAGAGCTCCTGTGCTCTGTCTCAGGTTGCCAGGCTTGTCTGCAGCAGCGAGGGGGGGCCAAGGTCAACCCCCCCCGCATTCCATCTGGCCGTCCCGGTCCAGCTCCGGGACATCTTTTGAGCTTCTCAGCTCCTCTCTCTCTCTCCGGTGCTGCATGTCCAAAACTGTTCTCCAAAATAGGAGTCCATCTATTGCTCCTTTCTCGGAGGTCTCAAAGGAGTTTGGGGGAATCTGGTATCAGTCTTACCCCAAACTCTGTCTCTCTGCTGCTAGCTCTCTCTCTCTCCAAGAGTCCTTTCTGCGATACACGCCGTTTCTGCTGCTTGGTTCAGTTCTTATCTGTCCTGGCTCTCTGCCACTGTTTCTCTGGTCAGTGCCGGCTGCTGCTCTGCGCCCATGGAGAAAACATCTCCCGGCATAACTACAGGCACCTAGCTCAGCTTTATGCTGTTCCAGGTCCCTGCAAGCCCCCGCTGGGGGCTGGGGGCCAAAGCCCCCCTGTGGGGCTCTGAGGCCCTTCCTCGTGGCTCTACAACATAGAATCATAGAATCATAGAATCGATTGGGTTGGAAAAGACCTCCGAGATCATCGAGTCCAACTCTTGGTCCAAATCCAGTCCATTTACTAGATCATGGCACTCAGTGCCACGTCCAATCTGCGTTTAAAAATCTCCAGGGATGGTGAATCCACCACCTCTCTGGGCAGCCCATTCCAATGCCTGATTACTCTCTCTGTAAAGAATTTTCTCCTGATATCCAACTTAAATTTCCCCTGGCGGAGCTTAAGCCCGTGCCCCCTTGTCCTATTGCTGAGTGCCTGAGAGAAGAGACCAACCCCCACCTGGCTAGAACTTCCCTTCAGGTAGTTATAGACGGTGATGAGGTCACCTCTGAGCCTCCTCTTCTCCAGGCTAAACAACCCCAGCTCCCTCAGCCTCTCCCCATAGGACTTATGCTCCAGTCCCTTCACCAGCCTTGTTGCTCTTCTCTGGACCCGCTCCAGCACCTCAATATCCTTTCTGAACTGAGGGGCCCAGAACTGAACACAATACTCAAGGTGTGGCCTCACCAACGCAGAGTACAGGGGAAGGATCACTTCCCTGCTCCTGCTGGCCACGCTATTTTTGATACAGGACAAGATCCCATTGGCCTTCTTGGCCACCTGGGCACACTGTTGGCTCATGTTGAGCTTCCTGTCAATTAGTACCCCCAGGTCCCTTTCTGCCTGGCTGCTTTCCAGCCACTCTGTGCCCAGCCTGTAGCGCTGCAGGGGGTTGTTGTGGCCAAAGTGCAGGACCCGGCACTTGGCTTTATTGAACTTCATCCCATTGGAATCAGCCCATCTCTCAAGTCTATCCAGATCCCTCTGCAGAGCCCTCCTGCCTTCCAGCAGGTCGACACTCCCTCCCAGTTTGGTGTCATCAGCAAATTTGCTGATGATGGACTCAATCCCCTCATCTAAATCATCAATAAAGATATTAAACAGGACTGGACCCAACACAGACCCCTGGGGAACACCACTGGTGACCGGCTGCCAGCTGGATGCAGCTCCATTCACCAGCACTCTCTGGGCCCGACCCTCCAGCCAGCTCCTAATCCAGGAGAGGGTACACTTGTCCAAGCCATGGGCTACCAGCTTTTCCAGGAGTATATTATGGGAGACAGTGTCAAAGGCCTTGCTGAAGTCTAGATAGACCACATCCACAGCCTTCCCCTCATCCACCAGGTGGGTCACCTGATCGTAAAAAGAGATCAGGTTGGTCAGACAGGACCTGCCCCTCCTAAACCCGTGCTGGCTGGGTCTAATCCCTTGTCCATCCTGAAGGTGCTGTGTGATTGCACTCAGGATGATCTGCTCCATAACCCTGCCAGGCACCGAGGTCAGGCTGACAGGCCTGTAGTTGCCAGGGTCCTGCTTGCAGCCTTTTTTGTGGATTGGGGTGACATTCGCCAACCTCCAATCATCTGGGACCTTCCCAGAGAGCCAGGACTGTTGGAAGATGATGGAGAGCGGTTTGGCAAGCTCTTCTGCCAGCTCCCTCATCACCCTGGGATGGATCCCGTCTGGTCCCATAGACTTGTTAGGATCCAGCTGGCTCAGTAAGTTGCTAACTACATCCTCCTGGAATACAGGAGGGCTATTCAGCTCTCTGTCTCTGTCTATCTGCTCTAGAGGCCAGTTGTTCTGAGGGCCACCTGTCTTACTGCTAAAAACTGAGGCAAAGTAGGTGTTAAGTACCTCAGCCTTCTCCTCATCTTTGTTAACTATATTTCCCTCCAAGTCCAACAGAGAATTGAGGTTTTCCTTGCCCCTTATTTTGCTATTAATGTATTTATAAAAGGACTTTTTGTTATCCCTAACTGAATTAGCCAAATTAACTTCAAATTCCACTTTTCTTTCCCTAATTTTTTTCCTGCATGACCTAGCTCTCTTCGTAAATTCTTCATAAGTAGCCAGCCCTTTTTTCCACAGTCTGTAAACTTTCTTTTTGTCCCTGATTTCTTTCAGAACCTCTCTATTTAACCAAGCCGGCCGTCTTCCCCTCCGGCTGGCCTTTCGGCACACTGGAATAGCCTGTTCCTGTGCACTCAAAATTGCCTGTTTGAAGCATGCCCATCCCTCCTGGACCCCCTTGCCTTTAAGGGTTGTTTCCCAGGGTATGCCCTGAATTAGTTTTTTGAATAGGCCAAAATCTGCCCTCCGGAAGTCCAGAGTAGAAGTTTTAATGATGGCTCTCCTTACATCCCTGAGGATTGAAAATTCTATTATTTCGTGGTCACTATGCCCCAGGCGGCCTCCAACCACTACATCATCCACCAGCCCCTCTCTGTTTGTAAACAGTAGGTCTAGTGGGGCCTTACCCCTGGTAGGCTCATTTACCAGTTGATGAAGGAAATTATCCTCTATACACTCCAGGAACCTCCTTGACTGCCTCTTCTCTGCAGTAT